ATCACAACAACGACCCCAAGTTAATGCTTAATATCATACTAATTAACCAGAATCTTCTACTTAATAGAGTAATAATCAGTTATTCTATTTGTTTCCAATTGTTAATGGAATTGCTTCCAATCAAGATTGTTAAGAGTGCCATTATACACTAGAAAGGCCAGCCACAAGTGTTGCCCTTCCAACTCCTTTGACTAGTTTAGAACACCAAGGCTGCAGATCATGACAACGGTGAGCACTAAACAAGCAAGTAGGACGGCCTGCAGGTGGCCCTCCAGCAGGTGGAGGGGGCGCGGAGAGCTGAGGGCACGCACCTGCAGAGCACACAACCACCAACCTCACAGTTACTCAAAATGATACTTTAAAAGTTGGATTCTTGAGGCCAGCATTGTGGCATGGCAGGCAAAGCTACAGTCTGCCAGCCACAAGAGCATTCCATAGGAATGCCAGTGCAAGTGCTGGCTGCTCCACTCACCCAGCTCCCTGCCAAAGAGCCTGAGAAGGCAGCAAATCACACAAGTCCTTGGACTCCTGCTTCCCACGTGGTGGACCAGGATGAAGCTCTTGGCCTCAGCCTGCTCCATCCTGGGTCAATCAGGCAGTGAGCCAAGGCATGGAAGATCATTTCTCTGTGTGACTCTCTCTCTGACTTTCGGATACATTAATAAATCTTTTTTTAAAAAAGTTTGGTTACAAAAAAAAAGTTTGGTTAAGAGGCCCAGCACAAGGCCTAGTGGGGAAATCCTCGCCTTGCATGCGCCAGGATCCCATATGGGCGCTTATATTCCAACTGCTTCACTGTCCACCCAACTCCCTGCTTGTGGCCTGGGAAAGCAGTCAAGGATGGCCCAAAGCCTTGGGACCCTGCACCCACGTGGGAGACCCGGAAGAGGCTCCGGGCGCCTGGCTTCAGATCTGCTCAGTTCCAGCAGTTGAGGTCACTTGGAGAGTGAACCAGTGAATAGAAGACCCTTCTCTCTGTATCTTCCTCTCTCTGTATATCTGCCTTTCCAATCATAAATAAGTAAAAAATTTTTAAATTCCATTAAGATAGAAAACGAGTCCAGTTAGACAAATTTTTTTAATGAACTGTCAACACCAAAAGCTTAGCACTCTTTAGTCCATGACCGTAAATGCAGAAGTATTTTCCTCCATTCTGCAGAGTGAAGGCCTGAGGCTGACAATGGCTGAAACAAACTTTCTACTGTTAAGAACCTTATGGTGTGGCACAGCGGTTTAAGATACTGCTCGGGAATGCCAGTAGCACAGTCCTGGCTGTTCCGCTTCCAGTCCAGCATCCTACTAACGCCTGCGCAGGGAGCAGGAAGCTATCCCAAGTCCTTGGGCCTCTGCCACCTCTGCGGGAGGAGACCGGAACGGAGTTCCAGGCTCCAGATTATGGCCCAGCAGCCACTTGGGGAGTGAATCAGTGGACAAAAGATTTGTTTCTGTATCTCTCCCTTTCTTTGTCACCTCACCTTTCAAATAAATGAATAAATCATGAGGGAACAAAAAAAAAATTAAGTGTGCTATTAGGTACAATAAACTTTATGAAGATGAGAACGCCAATTTTGGTAGTTACTAGACAAATTGATTTTGAATATTGAAATATTTAAACTCCTATTTTATAACTATAAATCACTGTTCCTTAGGGAGCAATTTGAGTCTCTGAAAAACGAAGTCCTGATTCTAGTGGCACTAGCAGCAGCACTTGACCTTGGCCAAGTCCCTTAACCTCTCTAAGCCTCTGCTTCCTTATAGAGAGGGCTAGTCCGACAGTCACAGTCCAGGCACAGTGTTGGCACATGTCAAGCCCCACTGAACCACTTCCCATGTGAACACAGGCAAGATGCTCTCTGCAGGCCGGTACTGCGGCTCGGCTGGTTGCGCAGTGCCACCACCCCTCAGGGACATCAGGCTAGCAGTCCATTTCTCCACTTCCAACCCAGCTCCCCGCCAATGGCCTGGGAGAGCAGCAGAGAATGGCTCAAGTGCTGGGCTCTGGCCCAATTCCCGGCAAATGTAGCCATTTGGGAATCTCTCTCTCTCTCTGCCTCTCCCATGAGGTAACACTTTCATTTAAACAATTATAACTACTCCCTCAAAAAAGTCCTGTCGAAAAACATACACAACTCTCAGTAATAACTGTGTCCATGAAAAACCTTAGGGTCAAGCATAGAACACTTTTTCCCCCTTCCATATTTCTAACCAGTGCTTATATAATTTTTCAAAAAATAAAATAAAATGTTTAGGATTATTTCCTATGCTGGAGATTTCTTAGTATTCATATGCTGCTGCAAACGTTTAACCACTACTGAACTGGCAAAGCAATCAGTCAGAGTCTAATAATATCCGCACTGAAACACACCACCTAGCTGATTTCATGAATCTGTTAGGTGTTCTGACTTGCTTCACAACAGCTAGCATGAAAAACCTCAACCCAGCGGTTTTCAACCAGAGGTGTTTACCCCTCAGTGACACGCAGCAGCGGAGACATGCTTGGCTGTCACTACTGCGGGACATGTTCCTAGCATCTAGTGGGCAGGAACGGAAATAGGAAAGCAATCTAACACGCACCATACAGGCCCCTGAAGCAATGAGGGAACCCAAAATATCAACAGTGCCGAGGCTGAGAAACACTGTGAAAGCAACCAGGTTGTTCGTTACAGTCACGACACCACACCTGGTAATAAGACTGGCAGGATAGGAGCTCAACCAGTCAAACTACTGTTGGCCGCAGCTGTTAAGTTTCTGGAATTCTAGCAGACAGGATAGGATGGTTTACAGGTATGCTACCTACTCAATTTCAGTACATTTTAAAAAAAGATTCTTAAAGCAGTTTGGATCAAACCTCACCAAAGTTCACTCTGATTTCAAGAGCCTGCATTTTCTCATTCTTTTCCAAATGATACTTGTAGAACCATAAAGTTCAAATAATATACCATTAAATTAAAGCCAGGACTTTATTGCAGTAAATAATTAACAAGTCTTTCCAAATAAAGTTGATCTACATTTCAATTAACATATTGCCCTGGCCTACTCTTTCATACATTTTGAGCAAGTTAATTAGAATCCTTAAAATTTTAAGAGAACCTTAAAATCGGTTTTCATTTTATATATATATTGTTTTATTTTAACTTTTATTTTGAATATTGTTTACATAGTTGAGGGATGCATGCCCATCAGTTTCATGATGTCCGACCAAGAAGGTAAGAAATGCTAACCAGCAGCTAAGCGACTCCATGAGGCCTGGGAAAGCACACTCACTCATATTTTCCTCTGTTACCTTCCAGTGTGCCCTCACAGAAAATCAACCATTAATAAAGGGATTTCAGGAGTGTTTTCTCAATACTTAGGATGCTATTTTTAAAAAATGCAAAATGGAACCATCAAAATCTACAGCTGGTTCCCAAATGGCTAACAAACAGTTTTGACATACTGTTTGCTACTGCTAACACTCAATGTTATAATTTACTTTCTAAGTCAATGCTTAATTCCTTTTACACCATTTAAAATGTGTATCTTTTCCATTATGTAAGAGTTGAGAGCTATTTTAAAACTTAGTAGTTAAATACTATTTAATAGCTCACCACATTAATAAATTTCCTGATTAAAGACTTCTTAGGAAGACAAAAGAAAATCTTAATTCCTTCCTCCAAAACAAATGAAAGGGCACAGAAAAGCTGTGTTCCCAAATACAAAACACATGGAGCTGTTATTCTTTCACTGCTGTTCCAGTATATTACTCGTCATGGGCAGCACCAGAACTTCTTCATTCACTCCAAGTCACTCCCCCTGAACATGTAGAACTTTAATACTTGTCCAAACTTGCTTGCTCATGGTCTAATAATAAACCCAATTATACAATCTCTAACAACCCCTGACAACCTTTTCCTTAAGCAGCCACAAAGGGAATGTAACTAATGCCTCCAACTCCCAATCAATCTATTTTCAAAGTTTCTTCTCTCTGGCCTCCGGGCTTCTGCCGTAGCTCAGGGACCAGGGGCAGGGCAGAGCGGGCTGTGGGGGGAAACGGCCTGCCCGGGGAAGGATCGCTCAGGGCGTCGGGGCGCAGGGCTCACCGCTGCTGGCTCATTTCTCTTTAAATCTGGCAGCACGTGGGGCGGCATTGTGAAGCCACCAACCCGCCTCCCCCCTCGCACTCGGCACACGTCCGTGCCCAGTGCGCATGCTCCGCTCACACAGTCCTAGCAGAGTAGGAGCCAACCCCCGAAAAAGTCAACCTGGAAGCCGCAAACGGCCGGAGGCCGGGACAATGGGGGAGGGGGCGGCAGGCTGCTCCGGGCCGGCCGATCGCCGCGGCCTGGGGCTCCGCCCGGGGGTCGCAGCCAGGCGGGCACACAGCCCCGGGAGCTCCGCGGGGCCAGCCGGGAGGCCGGGGCGGCCGGCGAGCACAAAGCCCCGGGCCGGCCAGCGGGAGGCTGTGCACTCTCCCGGCCCGCTCGCTCCCTCCCCCAGCCCGGCGGCGCAGCCCGAGCCCGTGCCAGGCGGAGGCAGGCGAGGCGGCGTCCCGCACCCCGCGCGCCCGCGCCCAGGCCGCGGCGCTTTTGTTGTCGGGCACAAGTCGGCGGCCCCCCGGGCGCTGCCAAGGGGCACAAGTTTGGCGCGCCTCGCCACTCCGGCCGGGGGCCAGCTGCGCCCTCGCCCACTCCCGCCTCCAGCCGCCCCACGCGGCGCAGACACCTCGGAGCCGGGGACGACGGCGACGAGGGCCGCGCGGGGGGCCCCAGCCGTCCCCTCCACCGCGAGGGTCCCGAGGCCTCGGCCGCACCGGAGCCTCCGGGACGAGGCTGTGCCCCGGCCGGGGACGCGCAGCCCTGTCCCCCCACAAGGCCGCGGGGAAGGGGGCCGGGGGCGCCGAGGGTGCGGGCGCCCCGGCCGGCATGCCCTCCCCGAGGCCGGAGGAAGGGCGGAGGTGGCCGGCAGCCCGCTGTCGCCGATCGCGGGCCGGGCCCGGCGCCCCGCCGCCCTCCCCAGCTCACCTGCCAGCTGTCTTCGCAGGAGCAGCGCCGACTGCAGTTCCGTCATCGTCCCCCCTTGCCAAAGGGCCCAGGCTGCCCGCCGGGGCGTTCGGAGAGCCGGAGGCAGGTTCTGAGGGCGGCCGGGGCTGGGTCTGGACCGAGGAACCCGGGCCCCGCGAACGGAGCGCCGGAGCTGAGGGAGGCCGGCTCGGGGCGGCGATCGTGACGCCTCACGGACGGTGCCGCTGGACGGCTCGGCTCCTTCTCTCAGCGCCTCACGCCCGGAAGGGGAGGATACCGGGGCGGCCGCGGCGCGCACTGGGACTTGACTCGCCCGCTTCCCTCCTTCAGCCCGCCCGTCGGCCCCACCGGTGCCTGGCCCGGACACTGCCTCACTGCGCGCAGGGCCGCTCGGCGCAGGCGCGCTGGGCCGGCCTCCCCGGGCAGCGGCCGGCCCGCCGGCCCGACCCCTCGGCCCCCCGGCTCCGCCCCCCGGCCGCGGAGCCCCGCCCCCCGCGCGCCGTGGGCCCGGCGGCCGCCATGTTGGGAAGGTCCACGCTCGGCTGACAGCTGAGGGAGGGCTCGGCGGGTGGACGCCGCGTGGACGCCATGACGAAGAGGTCGCCAAGGGTCAGGACGTCGCCTCCGGGTGGGGGCGGGAAGCAGGTGGTCTGCGGGGTGAAGAGCCCGCGAGAAGGGGTGGCTGTCTAGTGGTTGGCGAGCACCCAACAGCCATCCAACACTGCACACATGGCCCCTGAATTACTCATTGTTAGAAAGCTGAAGGAGTGCTGTGGTGTACCCCATTTTAAGCCATTCACCAAAACAGACCTCGTATGAATTCTCTTTACAAAAAGAATGCCCAGAAACATTCTTGGATTGAGGTTTTCTGCATCTCGTAGTACAAAACGTAAACACATCCTGTATACGCTCCATGAGTCAAGAGAATAGCAAAATCTGATACATACATTTCAAACTGTCGCCCAGAAAGGCATCTGTTATGTCAAGTTTCTGTTCTCTTCCCCTGTCCCGCAGTCTAAATAAAGACTTGAAGACTGAAGAATAATACCTAATGACACACTCAGATTTATCAGTTCCTTTCTGCAAGTGTTTATGAAACTAGCAGTAACCATGTGAGGGAGCCAGGAACTAAAAGCAGGCTTCACTAAAGAAGCTCCGAACTCCTTCCCAGCATGTAAACACTAAGCAAAACAAGAAAGGGAGAAGGGAGGGAAGCTGAGACCCTGGCACAGCTACGTAAGCCAGTGCCTGGAGTGCTGGCATAGCACAGAGATACAGGTTTGAGTCCTAGCTGTTCCACTTGCAAGCCAGCTTTCTTCGAATGCACTTGGAGGGCAGCAGAGGATGGCTTCTGTGCTTGGGCCCCTGCCCCCATGTGGGAGACCTGCAAGAAGCGCAGGCTTCAGCCTTGCCCAGCCATTAGGAGAAAACCATCTGAACTAGCAGATGGAAGATCTTTCTACTCTTCTCTCTGTAAATCTGCCTTTCTAATAAAAATAAATAAATCATAAAAAGAAGCCTACCGGCTAAAGTCCTCGCCTTGCACACGCCAGAATCCCATTGGGTGCCGGTTCTAATCCCAGCAGTTCCACTTCCCATCCAGCTCCCTGTTTGTGGCCTGGTTGGTGGGGGGAGGGGTTTGCAGTTGGGGACAGCCCAAGGCCTTGGGACCCTTTGTCCACATGGGGGACCCAGAGGAAGCTCCTGGCTCCTGGTTTTGTGTCAGCTCAGCTCCAGCCATTGTGGCTGCTTGGGGAGTGAATCAGCAGATGGGGTTTTTCCTCTCTGTCTCTTCTCCTGTTTGTGTATCTCACTTTCCAATTAAAAAAAAAAAAAAAAAAAAAGAGGAACAAGAAAGCAGGTCATAGCATCCCATAGCTCCTTCCCAGTATTTAAATTCTAAACACAACAAGATGAAAGCCCTTTGTAACAAACACTTATTAACCATAACAGGATCTAGGTTTTGCTAAAAGCAAAGTAGAAAACTAGAAGGGGCTCCATTAAAACTGCCCACACTCTTGGCAGGAACAAATGTGTAACCACTACTTTTGTTCCTTGGAGATAACAAGGGAAAGACATAAAGACCCTAGGCGGGGAGGCCTCCCTCTTTCTACCAGCTCCTCCAATCAAATGATTCAGATCTTCTCTGTCTCCTACTTAAATAAAACTGCTCCTTTTGCTCTCATAAATTTCATAAATTCTCATCAAAACCAGCACACAGACCCATCCTCTTCTCACCATTTTTGGTGCAAGACATGTGCCTGAACTGCAACCAGCTGGATGGGAAGTGGACCACCTGGGGCGTGAACCAGCACGCATATAGAGAGCTACACTTAGAGGAGGAGGATTAGCCAGTTGAGCCATTATGCTGTCCTCCCCACCCAAAAATAACTAAATCTTTTTTTTTTTAAGATTTATTTTTATTGCAAAGGCAGATATACAGAGAAGAGGAAAGACAGAGAGGAAGATCTTCTGACCTTTGATTCACTCCCCAAGTGACCACAATGGCCAGTGCTGAGCTAATCCGAAGCCAGGAGCCTCTTCCGAGTCTCTCACGCAGGTGCAGGGTCCCAAGGCTTTGGGACATTCATGACTCCTTTCCCAGGCCACAAACAGGGAGCTGGATGGGTAGCGGGGCTGACGGGATTAGAACCGACGCCCATATGGAATCCTGGCACGTTGAAGTGCTCATGCACTTTAGCTGCTAGGCCATTGCACAGGGCCCAAATAACCTTTTTTTAAAAAATGAATGAATAAATAAACAAGAGGAGAAAAGCCAAAATAGGAGTGTAGCATGTTTCCAGGAGGAATGAATGGTTGACAGGCACATGCTGCTAACAGGTAGAAAGACAAGCGCTGAGAAGGCTGCACTAGATTTGAGGCTAGAGGTTGTCTTGTCCTCAATGGAAGATCTTGATGGATCAGAGCTCACAGCAGACACAGAAGACCATGCGGAACACTCAATGTACGGTGAGGAGGAGAGATCTGAGTGTTGAGAGTTTATCTGAGGTTTGTGGTCATGAACTGGAACTGCAACCTGAAGACAACAGAATTTATTTTCTCCCAATAACGTTCAGCGGCTCAGGTGCTGTGCTGATGGTTGAACTCATTCAGAGATGACGATGAGCCAGGCAAGTCAAGTGCAGAGACAGAAACCAGGTGACGTGAAAGGACAGGAAACGGTGGTCAAGAGGACCGACCTGAAACTGAGAATCTGGGTGTATTATACTCATGGTTGATGACTTTGTGTCTTGGGAACCTGAGAGAGGCTGTCTGGTGGCAAGGGAAGGAAGGAAGTCACGTGGGTGACCGTCAGGGAGTGCTGCAGGGGTCATCCTCCTGGTTACGTCCCCCAGGGTGAGCTCTGGAGTCAGAGGAAGAGAAAGGCTGTGAACCAGACAAGTTACTCAAGAACAGGCAGTACTCGCAAAGAGGAGCTGCAAGAAGAGCTGGGTGGCATCAACGCCCAAAGAGCTAGGAATAGGGAAAGGAAAGGAAGACAAGGCGGTCAGCAACAGAGGACAAGGAGAATGTGCTGAGATCTGACCCGAGATTACCAGAAGGTGCTAGACAGGCTTCCCTAACTCTCTTGTTCCTTGTAACCCAAGCCTGGATGACTGCCCCTCCTAAACCATCTTCTAACTACAGATCTTGACTCTCTCCCTCATCTATCTTCTGAAACTGCAGTTAAACACATTAAAAATGCAAATCTACTGCTGGCCTCTAGTGAAACAGTGGCCTCCCACCATTCTAAGACGAGGTGCAGGCTCCTCCCTGTGGTCCTCCTGCCCCTGCAGCCTCCAGGGCCTCATCCAAACCCACCTCTCCTGTGCCTCTTCCAGGGCTCTTTGCTTCTGGCACATTATCCTTTTTTTAAATTTTTAAAATATTTTATTTAAAAGCAGAGAAACCTATCTCCCATCTAATGGTTCATTCCCCAACCACCTACAACAGCCAGAGCTGAGTCAGGCCAAAGCCAGGAGCCAAGAATTCAATACAAGTCTCCCACTTGGGTGGCCGGGACCCAAGTGCTTGAGCCATCACCTGCTAATTTCCAGCGCTCACATTATTAAGAAACTGGAACCCAAAGTAGAGCACAGAGTGGAGCCAGGACTGGAACCAGGCATTCTAATAGAAGACATGGGTATCGCAAAGCATCTCAACCGCAATACCAGGCACTGATCTTAATGCTGCATTTTTATGTCCTCCAAAAGGGAGGAATTGGGGGGGGGGAGGTGTTGAGGGGCATATTATAGTCTTTCCATTTACTCTATTTTAATTTTTTAAAAAAATATTGTTTACACAGTCAAGGGGGCTTGCATGTCCACATGGGCCTTGAGATAGAGTGGGAAGTGTCAGGTGTGGAGGAAGGTGGGTGGGACACGTGCTTAAATTCTTTTTTTCCTTCTGTGTCCACTGGGGAGTAGGGCCACTACTTGCTATCAAACTGTATTAGCACCCAGGGATGAGAGATGGTCCTTTGATGACACTTTGAGATCTCAGTGTGGAGAAGAATCTTTTTTTCTTTTAAAGATTTATTTAGGGCCCGGCGCGGTGGCGCAAGTGGTTAAAGGTCCTCGCCTTGCACGCCCGGGATCCCATATGGGCGCCGGTTCTAATCCCGGCAGCCCCGCTTCCCTTCCAGCTCCCTGCCTGTGGCCTGGGAAAGCAGTCGAGGATGGCCCAAAGCTTTGGGAACCTGCACCCGCGTGGGAGACCCAGAAGAGGCTCCTGGCTTCGGATCGGCATAGTATCGGCCCGTTGCGCTCACTTGGGGAGTGAATCATCGGACGGAAGATCTTCCTCTCTGTCTCTCCTCTCTGTATATCCACCTTTCCAATGAAAAAAATAATAAAAATAAATCTTTAAAAAAAAAAAAAGATTTATTTATTTATATTACAAAGTCAGATATACAGAGAAGAGGAGAGAAATAGAGAGGAAGATCTTCCGTCTGATGATTCACCCCCCAGGTGGCCGCAACGGCTGGAGCTGAGCCAATCCGAAGCTGGGAACCAGGAACCCCCTCCAGGTATCCCACGCAGGTGCAGGGTCCCAAGGCTTTGGGCTGTCCTCGACTGCTTTCTTCCAGGCCACAAGCAGGGAGTTGGATGGGAAGTGCAGCTGCTGGGATTAGAACCGGCGCCCATATAGGACCCCGGTGTGTTCAAGGCGACGACTTCAGCTGCTAGGCCATGGTGCTGGGCCCTCAGTATGGGGAAGAATCTTCCCAGAGTGTTATCTGACTGGTCTCAACCGCCCTGACATGTTGTCAGTTTCATTGCTTCAGGTATGAGAAAATCCTTCCAAGGTCTACTAGTTGACAAACTCTACTTCAGTGCGTCTACACACCCAGG